TCTGAGTGCTGCAGTGTACAACTTCTAACACTCCACTCTGAACTTGATGTCTCAAAAAATAATACTTGGTCTCAATATGTTTGCTTCTCCCATGCAACACTGGGTCTCTGGCAAGATTGATTGCAGACTTGTTGTCAATCATCAGCTTCAGAGGTTTGTTTATTTTAATCTTCAGATCCTGTAACAGATTCAGAATCCACACAGATTGGCATACAGTAACAGCACCTGCAATGTATTCAGCTTCACAGGTTGATAACGCCACAACAAGTTGCTTCTTAGAACACCAAGAAATGGGACCTCCCAGAAATTTGAACAAGTATCCAGAGGTACTTCTTCTGTCAACTCTGTCTCCACACCAATCAGAATCTGAATAACTCAGAAGTTCTGACTCATCCTTTCTTCCAGAAGGAAACAACACTTCATACTTCAGAGTTCCCTTGATATACCTCAGAATCCTGACAGCAGCTTGGTAATGGGACCACTTAGGTTTACTCATGAACCTACTAACCATACCAATAGAATAGCAAATAGCAGGTCTGGTATTGCACAGATACCTCAGAGAACCAACCAACTGTTTGAAGGTTGTAGCGTCCACATCCTTTCCATCAGAGTCAGAATCCAAAGTCTGATTTGTATCAGAAGGTGTGACAGAAATCTTACAATTCTTCAGTTCAAATCTATTCAGAAGTTCTAATTCATACTTGAGCTGATGCAAAATGATACCTTTCTCAGAATATTTGAACTCTATCCCTAGAAAGTATGTCATTTTGCCTAGATCAGTCATTCCAAATTCATTCATCAGAACTTTCTTGAACTTGGCTATCTCCTGTTCAGAACTTCCAGTCAATAGTATATCATCAACATATAAACATACCAGAGTCATATTGCCTTCAGAAGTATGCTGAACATAGACACCGTACTCCATATCACATTTTTGAAAGCCTTGCTTCTTGAAAAATGAATCAATCTTCTGATTCCAAGCTCTGCTATCATGGCACACTGAATAACTTCTCCTTCAGAGTCTACTTCAGTGTCTTGCAGCATGTCAAATTCTGCATATCTTCTGGGGACGTTTCTTATTCTTTGTGGTCTCTGAACTTGTTCAGAGTCTTGAGCTTCAGAGTTTCTAACTTCAGATGATTGACTTCCTCCAGAGCTTTGACCATCTTCAGAGTCTGGCATATTTCCAGAGTCTGAATTGCCACCAAAATCTGGATTGTCATCGAAGTCTGGATCATCAGAGTCACCTTCATCTTCTGAGTCTTCTCCAGAGTCTGAATCACTATCAGAGTCAACGTCAGAATTTATTCCAACTTCAGAAATTCTTAACTCTGACCTTTCTTCAGAAGTTCTAACATCAGAATCAGATTGAGACTTATCCCAATTCCAAACTTCTGATTCCTTCATAATCACATCTCTGCTGAATTCAATTTTATTGGTTTCTGGACAATAGAGCTTGTATGCACCTGTACTGTGGTACCCTATCAGAATCATCACTTTGTTTCTATCATCCAGCTTCTGTCTTCTGGCTTCTGGAACATGTTTATAGCAAACAGAACCAAACACCTTTAGATGACTAACACTTTGCTTATCTCCAGTCCACTTCTGTATTGGAACTATTTCCTTCAACTTCTTCGTAGGACATCTGTTGAGTACATACGTTGCAGTTGCAACAGCTTCTCCCCAGAGCTTCTGAGGAAGCTTCTTCTCCTTTAGCATGCTTCTCACCATATCAAGCAAAGTGCAGTTTCTTCTTTCAGCAAGACCATTGTGTTGAGGGGTATAAGGAGCAGTAACCTCATGCTCAATTCCATTCTCCTCACAGAACTTCTGGAACTCTTTGGAGTTATACTCACCTCCACCATCAGTTCTAAGAATCTTCAACTTCTGACCACTCTGATTCTCAGCCTTCATTCTGAACTTATTGAATTCATCAAACACCTCATGTTTAAACTTAATAAGGGATACCCATGTCATTCTTGTGAATTCATCAACAAACAACACAAAGTATTTATTCCCTCCAATCGATGCTACTGGAAATGGACCACACACATCAGAATGTACAACTCCCAAGGCATGTTTTGCTCTTGGAGCAGCTTTTGACACAAATGGCAATCGTGGTTGTTTTCCTTCCATGCAAACTTTGCATGACTTTTCAGGCTTCTTAATTGCAGGAATTCCATGTACCAACTTCTTTGAATTCAGATGTTTTAAGCTTCTGAAATTCAAATGACCAAATCTTCTGTGCCACAGCTCACTCTCCTTCTCAGCACTTGTTGCACTAAGACATTCTGAATCTGCAGTTCTGACATTTACCTTGAATGTTTTATTCCTTCCCTGTTCTGACTCCATAATCAACTTCTGATTGTAGTCATACAGCTTCAGAAGATTGTCCTTCATGGTAACTTAAAAACCTTTCTTAATTAATTGTCCCACACTCATCAGATTGCTTCTGATGCCAGGTACATACCACACGCTCTGAATCAATGTTGTTTTCCCATTGTTCAGAATCACTCTGACATTTCCCATACCTTATGCATTAAGATATTTGTCATCAGCACATCTGATCTTTGTTCTCTTTTCAGAGTCAAACTCAACCAGCCATTTCTTATTTCCAGTAAGATGATTTGAACAGCCAGTGTCCATATACCACCGGTCTATCAGATCCATATTATCAGATTCAGAGGCCATCAATAGCACAGATTCGTCATCAGAGCTTCTGGCTATATTTGCTTCTTCTGATTTTCTCTCCTTGTTTGACCAACAATCTCTAGCAAAGTGACCAAACTTCTTACAACAGTAACATTGGATCTTCTTCTTGTCATACTTTTCTTTTCCCTTCTAAGCATTCTTTTGTCTATCAGAGGTTCAGGTTTCTGACTTCTGAACACCATCAGATCTTCTCCTGGCTTCTGACTGCTTCTGATACTTCCTATCAGAAGTTGCTTTCAGAGCCTGCTGCTCTACTTCCTTTTCAGAGGTTCTCTTAGTCAAACGCAACTCTTGCGCTTCTAGACTGCTCTGCAGCTCTTCAATTCTCATGGTGCTCAGATCTTTGGAATGTTCTATTGCTACCACAATGTAATCAAATTGAGAGGTAAGGGATCTCAATACTTTCTCCATGATTGCTTCTTCAGAAATAGTTTCTCCACACGCCTTCATCTCATTAGTGATCAGAATCATTCTGGAGATGTATTCAGAGACTTTCTCATTATTCTTCATGTTGAGATTCTCATATTGCTTTCTCAAGGACTGAAGCTTTACCTTCTTCACTGATGCGTCACCACCATAACATCTCACCAGTGTGTCCCACGCAGCCTTTGCTGTTGTTGAATTTGCAATCTTCTCAAACACATTTACATTCACACATTGATGAATGAAGAACAATGTTTTCTGATCCTTCTTCCTTACTTCCTTCTGCGCGTTTTTCTATTCATCTGTTGCATTTGCTGCTACTGGAACATAACCATCAGTGACAAGATCTAGAACATCTTGAGCACCAAAGAGTACACGCATTTGGATCATCCAACGGTTCCAGTTTTTACCGTCAAATACTGGAAGTTTGGTGTTCATGTTGCCGTTTCCGTTCATCTTCTACCTTGCACAGTACACTCAGATTTCTCACACAGTGTTTCCCAACCCACAGAATTAAAATTCTGATCAGATTTTGTTCAAGATTCAACACGAATCTAAGAATCAAAATCAAACACATAAAACCTCACGTTCACTCGTGTTTCCCGTGTTTCCCAATGAATTTGAACCGAAGCTCTAGATACCAATTGTTGGTGCAAAGGTAGAATAAATGATGAAAAGAGAAATATTCTATTAAGAGAATGTCGGCTACACACTACTACACAAATTGCAATGATTGCTACCCTATTTATAAGCTAAAACTAGGGTTACTAAAATAAGATAAAAATACTAAAATACCCTCTAACAAACTTAAGGGCTAAGAAAATAGTACAACTAATAAATATTAATTACTTCTAATATTTTTTACCACACACTCTCATCATAATTTTTGTTTTATCTTGAATTTTATACTCCAAAAAAATGTTAAAATTTGCCACCAAAATCACACCGCTTCAAAGTTACTGAATCCTTTTCCCTCCATAACACATATTGCAACATGGGAAACAATTTGGCGCGTGCCGCTCCAAGTAGTCGTTGACTATCTAGTTCAAAATCGCAATTTATTTTTGTCTATAGGCAAATTTGAAAGATGTTAGGAAATATCTTACCTCTACACTAGGAAACACATTTCTTGTCTTTCACTAAACCAGATCATGATAGTCATTGAATTAAAAGAGAATGAAACAATAATATTCAAAGATGGAGCAACAGGTATGAGAAATTCAACGGCTAAAATAAAAGTATGAGAAATTCAAAGAAAAAGACAAAGCTACTCTCCAATTCAATTAAATAGAACATATTTGATGCATGAGGAGAGAGTAGGTTTAATATATTCATTTCATTAGCCACTAAAACCTACTTATAGTAGCTACAACAAAAACAAAGGGAAACAAACATGTAAAACAAACCCTTTTAACTTAACAACTCAATTATTTTCAAACTTAAACTTAACTTTAATCATAATTAAAGGAGACTCCAAAACAAATACCAATATTTGTTGGACATTTTTCTGTACCAATTTACTCTTTAACTATGCAATTCTTTTTCAAATTTCAATTTAAATTTCAAAACATACATCATGAATATGAAAACTGCACTTTATATACAAACTAGTATTATATAATCAAAACATAAAAACCATAGTAGATCTTTTAGAATGTAATCTATTTCTATCAGATTTCATAGCAAAAATATAACTTACAGTGACAAATTATGTCTTCACTTATAGGAACTGGTAAATGAAGTTGTTCCAACAAATTTCAAAGACTAATTTATTCAAGTTGAAGGACATAAAAAAGTGTTTATTTCATAATAAAAAGTCTACAAACACTGCATGCTTACATGGTGAAAACAGATTAAAAACACATTCATTCCTGAATCTGAATAGGCTCAAAACCCTTATCAATCGAAGCCTTCACAGCATCCAATATCAATTGTGTTTTCCGACTTATCGATGGCCATTTCTTCTCAGGTTTCGATTTGTTGAATTTGATTTCTGCGACCAACCGAGAGAATTCCTTTACCATTAGAGCTTCTTGAGGGAGATCATTTTCAATTACGTGCTTGGTCGGCTTGGAACTCCACCTCGTGACAAGATCATCAAAGCCTGATTCTGAAGCTGCATAAAATGATGCCTTTTTCTCTTCATAAGGGATAATAAAATCATGAACATGAAGTGTTCCTTTTGTCCCAACAGCGGTTATATCCATTGTTAAGTTAGACAAGAAAGAGCAATAGAAAGTTGCTACTCTCCCATCTTCCCAAAATAAAGAAGCACCACAAGATAATATCACTCCAGCTTTATTAAGCATGGGTTCGCGTGAGGCTAATACTGTTTTAGGTAATTCGTAGTTGTTAGCGAACAGAATTGCCCTAACACAGTACCATCCTTCATCGCCAAGAGAGCCAAGTGCGTCGAGATCCGGTTTCACACGAATGTCATTCTCGAGAAAATCAGGATCAGCCCCAAATGTAAAAACAGTGTGAATCTGTTCAACACCAAATCAAAACTATGTATCAGTGAAGAACATGTATCTTTGATACAACATTTTCTATCATAAGATACAGAATCATAACTGTTGATTGAAACATTTTTTCACAAAGAGAAAGATACTCATAATTAGTTTACTTTATGTTCAACAATGAATCAAACATTTTTGAATCAAACATTTTTCTTCACAGAGCAAGAGCCTAATATTTTGCAAACAGAATTCTAAGAGAAAGTAACCAATGTGTTTTTGATAGCACAGACTAAGGAGAAGGGTAAACCCGTCATTTGGAGGGTTTATCAAAGGAGAAATAAAATAAATAAATAATATAATTTTAGTGTGTTAGTTTAAATTCAAATAGTTAATTATTGGCTGATTTTGTGGATTGTATTTAAGTTGTTCATTGTTTTTTTAGGGGAGTTATTATTGGGAAGTTTATTGGGAAGTTACTAGGCCAGAAGAAGTTATCTATTAGAGAGCAAACTGCTCTTGTAGTTTTCAGATTGTATCTCCTTTGTTTATCTATGAAAAATCGCAAGTTTCTTGCAATTTCTGTTTCTCTATAATTCAGTTCTACCGGGGTATCGTTCATCGTATCAGTTTTTAACAAAGACGGCAAGCACCATTTGATACAGAAATTCAAGGCCCGCGACTAGGTTTCAGTGTTGGGCGAACAACAACAGCTCAACTCAGCACCAAAGTATCAAGTAGAAGACAACTAGAAAAACACAAAGCAATACTTGTTTTTGCATCTTTAGCCAAAAGAACACATTACTTTACATTCACCAGGAAAATTTTCACCCTTGTCTATAATCCTTGACAGGACCACTTTTTAGACTTGGCCAATTTAAACTTGTAACTATTGGTGAAAAACCAACTATATGGACGAGTATATTAAAATTATGGTCATCGAAATTGTGGATCAGACAATATAATTTTCCAAATTTACGAAATAACAAATTAGTTTTTGAAATTGATGTCCATAAATCAATTTATCCCTATGTCTCTAAATGGGTCATATATGTTCAGTTTGCAAGTTGTTAGGAGCAACGTCAGCTGTAGCAAGTTTCCAAATATATGTTTTTATGTTTTCTGTTAATCTCTATTTTATCATAATTGAATTAATATGCTGAAGGAAGGACACAATTGATTAATGATTTTCAAATTCATAGACTAATTTGACCTTCATATATTTAGCAACCTAAATTGTTCGATCCCTACAACTTCAATGGCTAAAATGAAGATTCACTCATTTGAGAAGCTCAATAAAAGAATATGAATGAGTTGTATGCCTAAATCCCCCAAATCAATAGCCCATTGGGTGAGTGTAGATAATGTAAAACCCTAAAGACAAACAATACAAGTTTTTATATATTTTAAAGACAACTTACATAACTTTTAGGGATAGCTTGCAAATTTTACATAACTTTTAGGGATGGCTTACTAATTTTACATATTTAGTGACCAAATGACTGAAATATTTGAAGGACTAAATTCCGAATTTAGTCTAGTAAATTTTACAACAATATTAAGTTTACGCAAATGGCTTCCCATGTCCAATCTAAATCAAGATTGTTTGAAAGTATTTTAATAAATATGTTATTTCAGTCGCCCAATCTCAAATCAATGGTTGAGATTGTTTCTTGAGCGCTTTTATTGCTGCATAGCACTAGGATCTTTATGTGAAATTATTAAGAAATTTGATATAGGTTTGCAACATCAACACTAAAGATTAATGTGTACCTTGTAGAGTGTGTGGAGTCTGGAACGGATGAGTGTCAAACACCAACACGGTGTTATTCTAATACATTAAATCATTTCTATTTTCTTAAACTATCATCAATGTCTAGTGTTCCCTATTCGATATATGTATCTATATGTATATGTATTGGTTGTTCCAATACATGAATATTAATGAATAAATGTATGTTTCGTTAAGAGCCAAAAGCAATTCTAGAGGTGTAGAATTGATTTTGGAATGATTTCAAGGTGTTTGATTCTTCTAAAGTAGAATTGATTCCACTTTCGGAATTAATTCTACTCCAAACTAGAATTTGTAGCTTTTGAGAGTAGACGGGACTTTTATATTGAAATTTACCATGCAACTCACTTATATATAAATTTATCCAAATATAAACCACTTTACCTTCATTTTAAGATATAATTAATTTTACTGAATGAATTCACATAGAATCAATTAGTTTCATTTGAAACGATTGTTTTCATTGCTGAAACAAACACACAAACACACGCTATCATGTTTATCATGATAAGGCTTCTAAGCCGTAAATAAGCTATCTATCCAAATAACTAACAATATCAAATTTAGGCAAATGGCTTCAATGCATCACAAACTCACATATCTAGATCGTCCAATCTAAATCATAATACTATACTAACACATAATTACACTAAATCGCTTAAATTTCTTAAATCATGATCAATTTCTAATATTATTGAACTTGATTGAACATACATACCGATTTAAGCTGACCAAACCGTTGCGCATCAGAGAGAAACTCTTTGATAGCATCAGTTCTAGGATGATGCATCCACATAGTACCATCCATGAGCTGCACTCCACTGGATTCACACGCCTGAACTATCTCATCAAACTCCAACGCACTAAGAGCCACAGGCTTCTCCAGCAACACATGCTTCCCTTTCTTAGCGGCACTCACCGCCCACCGCACGTGCAAGCTAGTCGGTAACGGCATATAAACGGCGTCAACGTCAGGATCGTCGAGAACCGCTTCGTATGAGTCGTACACTTTGGCGCCATCGGGGAAACTGTTGGCTTTCGCGAAGGCTTTGGCTTTGTCTAGGGAGCGGCTTCCGACGGCGTGGAGGGAAGCGTTGGGAGAGAGTGAGATGGCGCGTGAAACTTTGCGTGCGATTTCAGCGCAGCCGATTATGCCGAAACGGATTGGCCGTGGTTCTGTCATTCCGCGGTGGGTTTTGAGATGGAAGGAAGTTACGAATCGTTTTGCAGTTTGAGAGGGTAAGGAATTTAGTGTGTATTGTATACTTTAAGGGTCACAAGAATTTGAGTGTTTATTGTATATTACTCGGGCGTTTGGATGATGGATGGAGATGAGGTTAAGAGGTGAGGTGTAAGTTGGTCCTATGATGAAAAGACATGGCATGTGGCGTGAACCGTTATGAGATGACATTTGGGTGTGTTCTAGAGTGAGTGATGGAGATAGCAATGAAAATATATATATATATATATATATATATATATATATATATATATATATATATATATATATATATATATATATATATATATATATATATATATATATATATATATATATATATATATATATATATATATATATATATATATTACTATTTTCATTCTTTACGTCTTTGAAAGTGATGGAGATAGCAATGAAAAAATATATATATTACTATTTTCATTCTTTACCTCTTTGAAAGATGTATTTGAATTGAAGATGTATTTTAAAATGCATTTAATAAAAATATTGTAAAAGAGATAGCTATATTTTTTTACCAAAAATATATTTTTAGAAATACATCTAAGGGAGTTATAAATGATATATTTAAGAGGTTGAAAATGAACATAAGTATGAAATATTTGGAGTACATGAATAAAGGTGGTGTGTTAAAAGTGATTTGAGTAATTTAAGTGTTGTAACCGGTTAACATAGGGTGCAATTGGTTACAGCAAGAGCAAAAACACGTTTGAATTGCAGAAAAAGTGAAATCTTTGAGGGTGTAACCGGTTATCACCTAAAATTAACTGATTACCACTGAAGGTGTAATTATTTTCATGTCAGTTGTAACTGGTTACAAGTTTGATGTAATCAGTTGCAAGTCCGAGTTTTTGTATTTTTTATTATGTACTTATAGTTTTAGGTTTCAATCATTTTATAACACTTGTAACCAGTTAACACCTGATGTTAACTGATTATCACTGAAAGTGTTATTATTTTCATGTTAGTTTAAACGGTTACAAGTTTGGTGTAACCGATTATAGACCCGAATTTTTGTATTTTTTAGTTATTTACTTATATGTTTTACGTTTCAATCATTTCGTAACACTTGTATAAATGCTTTAGAGGCATTCTCATTTAATGTTAGTGAAAATATCACTTTCATCCTTAATTCTCTCTCTCTCTCTCTCTCTCTCTCTATCTCTCTCTCTCTCTCTCTCTCTCTCTCACACACACACACACACACACATAATTTTCCTCTTTCACTCTCCACATATTAATTTTCTCCATCATTGATCACCAATCTTGTGGTTCAAAGTTCCAACATTTGACATCAAGAGTTTGGTTCTAATCCATAAATACCTAGTGTGCAACATGAATTTTGTCTCCAATAAAAGAATCCATGCAAACCTACTTGTCCTTGATGCAAATAATTACGAAAAATGGTGCAAGCAAATGAAAATGTTGTTTGGTTACCAAGATGTTCTTGAAGTGATCAAAAATGGGGTGAATCATCTTGTCGAAGGTGCAACGGCTGCACAGCAAGCAACGCATAATGAAAAGAACAAGAAAGATTTCAAGGTGCTATTTTTTATCCATCGTGTGGATGGTGACAACTTTGAGAAAGTTGATGATTGCAAATCGTCAAAGCAAGCATTGAAAAGCTTAGAGAAGGCTTACGCAGGGGATGACAGGGTGAAGGTGGTGAAGTTACAAACTCACAAACGTCAACTTGAATTGATTGAAATGGAAGAAAAATAGATAATCAACGATTTCAAAATGAGAATCACTCGATTAGTGAATCAAGTGAATGCATGTGGAGAAACAGTCATGGAGCAGTATGTTGTCACGAAAATATTGCGTTCTTTAACACCAAAATTTGCCAATGTAGTTGTAGCAATTGAGGAGTCTAAGGATCTTGTGACGATGAGCAAAGAGGAGATGCAAAGCTCTCTTGAGGCTCATGAGCAAATGATGGAAGAGAGAAATAATGATAAGGCAGAGGTGAATATCACTTTGCAAGTTCGCTTCAACGAGAAGGACAAGAGATTAAAAGGAAAGTGACTCATGAAGAGTAAAAGAAATTTTCATAATTTTGGTGGAAGAGAGTCCCAAAATTCCAATAATTTGACTTGTCAAAGGGGTGAGAGCAGTTGCAACAAAAATGGTAGTCAAGACAACTTTAGAGGGAAAGAAAGAGGTTTGACAAAAACAAATAACAGTGCTTTAAGTGTCAAAGGTTTGGTCATTTTGTGAGATTATACAATGCAAATAAGAAGGAACCTCAAGAAGATAAAGCCAAGGTTGCAAGACAACAGTTTGATGAAGAGAATACACTCTTGATCATGATCACAGAAGGATATTCTAGCAGCAACAGGTTGTAGGGCAGCAGCAGCACCAATTCTGTGAATGCTACAAAAACAGGTTGTAACTGGTTACTTGAAAGCATTAACTAGTTACATGCAGAAGAAAACTATATGATGACTGCAAGAGAAGGAGTCCAGTGCAACAAGGAATGGTATTTGGATTCAGGATACTCTACTCATATACGCGGAGGAAGGATTGGTTTGTCAAAATCAATTGTGCCATGAAGAACAAAGTGAAGTTCGTAGATGAAATCATTATAGCGGTCGATGGGATTGGTGATGTTTTTACTAAGAAGGGATAGTGGACATTCCTTGATCAAATGTGTTTTGTACATTCCAGGAATTAAATGTAACCTTCTATTTATTAGCCAATTGCTTGAGAAGGGTTATAAGATTCACATGGAAAACAAGGGGTTGTGCGTTATGGATGCAAATTGGGTTTTGGTCCTTAAAGCTCATATGGTTTCCAATAGAACCTTCAAGGTTGAGCTGAAGGTTATGGAGCATAGATGTCTTGCTCCAGCGGTAAGTCAGGAAGAGTGGACATGGAAATATCATCTTGGGAATCTCAATTTCCAAGATCTCAAAGACTTGTAAAAGAACGGAATGGTAACAGGGTTCCCATCAATCAACATATCGACTGAAATTTGTGAAGAATGTATGCAAGTGAAGCAACATACAAATAAATTCAGCAACGATGTAGGTTGTAGAATCAAGAATCACCTTGAGGTGGTTTATTCGGATGTGTATGGATCGATGTTAGTAGATTTAATCGGTGTCAATATCTATTTTGTCACAGTAGAAATCTATGGACATACCTAATCAAGAGAAAGGATGGGGGTATTTGAAGTGTTTAAGAAGTTCAAGTCCATGGTTGAGAGGCAAAGTGTTCACAAACTCAAAGTGCTCAAAACAGATGGTGGAGGTGAATATGTCTCAAAAGACTTTGAGAGGTTTTGTTATCAAGAAGGGATTCTACATGAGGTAGTACTACCTTATACACCACAACAAAATGGTGTTATCAAAAGGAAGAATCGATCAATCATGAACATGATGAGATACATGTTAAAAGGGAAGAACTTACCGAAAGAGTTATGGGGAGAAGCGTAACACCCTATTTTGTGAATTAGATGTTTTAATATAGTTTAATTGTTGAATTCCATATGTTGTATGTTTTATTGATTTTGAGATATAAGTGAGACTGAGAACTAAAAAATACCCTTATATAGTTTATTAATGAAATAAATGAGATAATTATAATAACATGGCATATAGAGGAATAAGGGGAAAATTGCCAATTGGGAGAATATTGAGGAAATAATGGATATTTAGAGGAGTAAGTGAGGGTAGAAGTGGAAAACTATAGAAAGAAGATATTTTTAAAGGAGAAAATAGAGAGAAGTGAGGTAAGTTTTGCAGTACGTGAAAGTTGAAAAGAGAAGAGTGCTACGATAAGAGAAGGCTTGGGAAGAATCGTCCATCCAAAGATCTTGAGAATCAAAGTTGCTAGGAATAACAAGGTAAAGATGGGTAATGGTTTTCAATTATGATTGGCATGAGGGAAGAGTAGAATTGGGTTTTAGTTTTTCTTTTAATTGATGATGAATGGTGAGAAATAATTGATGATGATTCTATGATGAAAAATTATGTTAATTGAATTGTTGGGTATGTATATCTTAATATTGTAATGTATTTCTTTCACTTGATTCATGTACTATATGATATGACATGTTTTGGGGTTGTTGAAGGTCAAAATATGGGGTTTGGAGTTTATTACAAGGCTGAAAAATAAGAGAGATCGCACAAAATCGCGAGAAAATTAGGGTTTTCAAGGCCTTGCTACGGGTGGCGTTAGCAGCCCCCTGAATTTTGGCACCAGGAACGCGCCCAAAGTGAGTTTTTGGTGAAGGTGTGCTACGGGTCATAGCCGCTACTACAGGCAGCCGTAGTAGATCCTTGGAATTGGTAATGCAAAATCGTTTTTGCCATAACTTTGTAACCGTAACTCCAAATGGAGTTTTGTTTGAAGCGTTGAAAAGCTAACGCGAATTACTATCAAATGAAATTACTTCCAGAGGCTGATCATGATGATTATTTGATTATTTTGATATTTGAAAGAAATGTTGAACTTGAAACTTGTTTATCTTCCGATGATTTTTGTTATATCATTTTAATCTTGTATCCAATTGATGAGCCGTTTGAAGTGTTAGAAAGCTAATGCTCAGAGCTATAACATAGTAGTAATAGGTGAAATGTTCAAATACTATTTATATGCCTATTTTATTGATGAACTGTTAGTTCACATGTTCAGATAATAAACTGTAGTATTGTTGTGCTAATGTTATGTGATAATGAGGTTGCTATGTTGACACTATTATGGTGATGTTGTTGAGACAGTGAATTGATGAAGTTTGATGTTGTTGTTATGATGAATTTTGATGTTGTTATGATGTGATGTTGATGATGTTCATAAGATGTGATGTTAATGATGTTTTTATGATATGATGTTGATGATGTTGTTGTGATAATTTTGTTAATGATGTGCATGTTCTAATATATATGCATGATGTGTTTATGATGATTATGTTGATGGTGGCATACACGGTCATAAGAGGG